GAAATTTATCGCCCTGGCGAGAATCGAGGCGTCATTTCCGGACCGAACGAAACAAAGAAAGCGTCGGACCCGACTCGCGCGAAAGATAATTGGCGTGCCATTCTATCGTGTCCTTTTTCGCTCTCACGGACCTTTCTCGCCATCCCCGGCAACCACCACCATCATCCCTGCAGATTTCTTTCCGGAACAGCTATACGGTTGCGCAAGCTGACGATTGTTAAATGTACCTACGGCTCGACTGATTTATTCCCCCGGGGGCTTTCGAAGCAGAGAAACCTGGATATTTATCGTTCCTTTCCGGCGTTGCGGTAAATAATGTGTTTGCTCTTTAACGCGATTTATTTTCGGACTGCCGCTGTAAGTATTGTACAACGTATTGTTGTTTCCTACGCGATGATCACGTCGACGCTCGCGATGAGGCAATTTTTGGAAAAAGATACGTATAAATATACGAGATGAAGTTCGTGGATTATATTTCCTTTTTATACCTTATATTGACGAACTCACGTCGCGGGAATTTGAATGAAAAATCGTTCGAATCGTTGCAAATTCTATACTAATCATTTATACTGACGCTTTTGTTAGATACATAAGATAGATGCCATTCATTGTCAAACAAATGATAAATGAAATTTTGGAGATTAGATCAGAGATTATCCATATATATGACGAAGAAGGCGATTATTTATAAATAATTACAAAGATTTCAGGTAGAAAGAGAAGACGAAAATATTCATGGAAATGTCTCTGTAGTAAATATGCAAGCCCTAATATTGACCATTCTCTAACCTATTTGCATCACGAAGCGAAATATTCTACGAGTGAATTACAAAACGCGGAATAATTCGCGAGCAGCGATTAAGAATCTTATATTCGTTAATGTACGAAAGACTATCAATATAAATGACTTCTCGTCGAAAACTATTTGTGCCATGCAAATATCATTTAATATCAAAACTATCAATCGAACAATGGAACAATTTATTGGTAATTATTTTTAATAATATTCCAAATAGTAAAATCACTTTAATAATATTTTTAATAGCTTCAGGTATTTCAATGATTATATTACAGTGATCATAATAACGATTAAACGATTCTATTTACTAAAGATACAGGATATCAGAAATAGGATATTTTCGTAGCAGAAATTATGATTAGATCATGAGCTTTCTGCATAACAATACGTTCTCTGTCTCGCAATCGGATATTTCATTGTAATCAGTTAGTATTAATACAGAATAGGAAATATTTCAATCGATATCTTACAATTGCAGTTTAAATCATGCAGTCTAAATCGTGACACAAACGGATTAAAGCTGACAATTTTACTATTGATGAAAGTTAGAATAAACAATTTTTACAAGAGCCTACGAACTGTTTAT